TTCGGCTTTCCTCCTGCAGTCAGTGTCACTGTGTGTGAGATTGAGGAGGAAGGATTTTGTAGACTGGTGTTGGACATATGGGCTAATGTTGGACTTATGGGCTTGGACAGCACTGGGTTGGGATGCTTTCTTAATGTACACTTACCCTTTATATAAAACTCTCTCTTATACATATATGTTTCTGTGGATTTCTTTCCCTAGTTTACCCAGACTTAACACAATGATGCTATGCTATAGATAGGAGAAAAAACAATAAGCAAATACAAAGATGTTACTATCTATGCAAGAAATACACACCTTACAAATACCAAGCTTTATTCTGTTCCTATTGGCATCCATCTCTTCCCAGACATCCTTCTCCTGGGGACGAGGATGTCCCAGAGATCCAGGCAATTTATCTGGGGATATACCAACAGGGATGCCATTCTCTCCATCACTAAGTTGTTCATCTGGAAAGACTTCATCTGTATTTTCTCGAAGCAAGTCTCCAGGAATGGGAGTAGCGTTGGCAATTCTGAAAATGAGAGAAAAAAGATAGAGATATTAATAAAGGCAATTTAACCATGGTGTGCGTGTGCTCTAAGATTGATGTGGTGGTGATTGTATAATTCCCCTTGATATGATTGAACTGTTGAACTACTCAATTGTATGTTATATAAATTATGTGACAATAAAACTGTTGGAAAAAAATACTAGAATTAAAAAAATAATATCCACTGTTTCTGAATTTAAATGATGAGATCCATACACAATTATGAGAGTAAAGGAACAAAAATCCCTTGAGGACTCAGGTGACATGAGTCCTACAGATTTGATTTTATTAAACTTTTGTCCATATTTTTAATTGGTTTTCCATTCAACAATTTATACACATACTGTATCATGACATAGCTACAATTCCCTCAATGTAACAGCACTCTTACCCCTGCTTCCCTGCTGGGCTCTACACATTCATCCTTCTTTCCCGCCCTTCCTGCCTTTCTTGCTTTGTTTCTAGACAAATGCTGCTTTTTAGGTTTCCTACGGTTAGTTGTACACAGAACAGAGTATGTTCCTCCCTGGTAAAACCACTCACTTTACAAGCTTGTCTAGTCAAGCTGATTTTAAAGTACAAATTCTAATAACTTACTGATTTGACAATACTTTAGAAGTTGGACACTACATTTCTTTTATGTTCCAAGAAGTCTTTGGCAATTATAATAAAGTTCTCTATTCTCCATTATTCTTAGAGAAAATTATTGACAGAAAGATGGAAAGTGTAATTACAAAGGACACTACCGTATGTGTGTCATGTGGTAGCCCAAAGGAAATAAGCAGTTGTCTCATCAATCAGTTTTTTAAAATTGTGTGAATTATGTATTTGTTTTATCATTTATAGACATTTTACTAAGCACTTATTGTACGTAAGGCCGTAGGAATACATAGAGAAGGGAAATTAGAAATTTCCCCGCCAAGGGAAATTAGAAATTCTGCAATTATTCAATTTCATATAATTCTACCTGAATAAGCCTGCAGGAAAATATTTTACTCTGACAGCCTGCTTCCTAGTTAGCACATATAAATAAATACGCATCAGTATTTGCTTACATTGCTTTCAAAGTCAACTGAGATCCTATTGACACAAATGGTGATCTACCCGTCAGTTGTTCACTCTACTGTTCCAGAGCTCCATTCCCCATACTAAATAGTTTTACTTTTTGTTGCTATTGTTATTTCTAATATTGTTGATTGAACACATTATTTAGCACAAATGTAACATCTTCTGAGAAGTGATCTGGAATCTCTACAAGCAGGAAAAACATTCTTCCACATACAATACTGGCACACACAATTATTAAGAATAGCAAAATAGGCATTTTCTTGATAAACTACTCTAAAAATAATACATCATGACATCATAATACCGCACAAATTGAAGAGAACAAAGATCGATGATTTTCAGGAACTGGCTCCATCTGATGTAACAACCTTCATTATCATTTTTCTCTATAATGGTCAATGACATAACGTAGATTCCTCTATCAAGAGGTTACAGGTATACAATCTTAAAAGGCACTGGTAATGGTTCCCAGGAAAAAAACCTTATTTTTCTGACAGTGGAAACATATTAAACAAGGTAGTTAGGCCTAAATAGTTCATCAGAAGGATTTATAAAGGTAAAAATCAGAAATGAAACTTTTATTAGAGAACTTTTCAGACATGAATTCAATGTAATGAATTTTTTCATACAAGAAATTATAATGAACACTAATCACTACTTTTGGATAAAAAAAACCTTTAAATGCCCTAGTTCCTTGATTTTCTTTTATTTGATGCTTATAATATTTATTTATTCATTTCATAAAATCCATAATACTTTTGATGAAATACTACATTTCTTTTCCCATGTGTTTGTTACTTTAGTAAATAAACATATAGAGAAAATATGCTAAACCACCGTAGGTTGATGTAGTGTAATTTTTTAAATTAAACTTTTATTGGGGGGCTCTTACATTCATCCAGTGTTGATTTTCTTTTGTTTGTTTTTTCCTTGATTTTTTTAGTTAACTTTTTACTATTGGTTTCTATTGGTATTGTTTCCTTTTCTTTAATGACTCCAAAATATTTTTTTCTTTAACCTCTCATTCAACACTACGTTCTTCCTGACCCTTTAAAAATATTTTTATCATTTTCATTCTCTTGTTGTTTTATTTTAATTTCCCCTCCTCTTATTGAAAGGAGCCCTGGTGGCGTAGTGATTGGGTTGCAATCTGCAAGGTTAGCAGTTTGAAACCACCAGTCATTCCAAGGGGAAAAGACAGGGCTTTCTACTCCCTTGAACAGTCTCTGAAACTCAAAGGGGGCAATTCTACCCTATCCGAAGTCACTTTGAGTCAGCACTGACTAGACAACGGTGTTTTTGTTTTTTAAAGCCCTTATTCTATGCTCCTTATTGAATGTTCATTTGAATCTTTTCTTTTTGTATTTTGTAATTCTTTCTGATTATGAAATAATTTGTTTTTTTCCTTCCATCTCCTTCCTGGAATCAATCATCTATTACTTAATTTCTTCCTCTTTATTTATTTTTGTCTATTTCTTTTGTTATTTTTAAAATTTCTGATTCAAGGTAGTTTTTAATAACTAGATGCTTGGATCGATTGAATTCCACTCAGGATTTGTCTTACGGTTTTCTTCATCTTCATGCTTGTCTTACTGAGACTTCTTCAGGTGACATATACGGAATTTTATTTTACAGTCTTTTTTCCAAAGAACTCTATATGGATCATAATCTTTATGTTATTCATTTTTGTAGTCTTGGTGATTATTATAGTATTTAAGCCTAACTACCTTGGTTAATATGTTTCCACTGTCAGAATAATAGAGTTTTTTCCTGGGAACCATTATCAATGCCTTTTTAGATTGTAAACCTCTTGATAGAGAAGTCTACCTTATGTCATTGACCCAAAAGGAACTACATTTGGTGGATGTTGAGGAAGAGTAAGAGTAAATAAACCATAACCACCTATTCCTGATTCACTTTGAAAATTAAATCATTCTCAAGAGAAATAATGTTGCATGTTTCTACCCCACTAATTTAAGCACAGTATGGATATAGTTGTGACTTATTCTTTCTAGAGTCCCAGATTTTTTTTTAGACATAAATGCAACACCTTGAGAAAATGAGTCACTTGGCCTAGGGGCTCAGCGCAGGATCAGTGTTGGAGGGTACATCAAGGTCAACTGGCATAACACAGTCCACAGAGGAAATGTTCTAAGTCCTGCTTGGATGAGTAGTGACTGGGGTCTTAAAATCTTGTTAGTGGCCACCTACAGTGCAACTATTGGTCTCCCTCTTTTCCAAGCAAAGAGTGAAGAAAACAAAAAGTACATGGTAATACTTAGTCAAAAAGACTAATAGGCCACACAAATATCAGCTTCCCCTCTGAGACCAGAAAGTCTAGAAGGTTCCTATCACTACCCCTTGCTCTGAAAGGGATCATATTAGAAGGTCCTGGAGCACAATACTCAAAATCATTAAAAGAAGTTCAGTACTGGGAGGGTGGAGGGAGGGTGGGGTTGAAAGGGGAAACTGATTACAAGGATCTACATATAACCTCCTCCCTGGGGGACAGACAACAGAAAAGTGAGTGAAGGGAGATGTCAGACAGTGTAAGAGATGACAAAATAATAATTTATAAATTATCAAGGGTTCATAAGAGAAGGGGGAGCGGGGAGGGAGGGGGAAAAATGAGGAGCTGATGCCAGGTGCTTAAGTAGAGAGCAAATGTTTTGAGAATGATGAGGGCAATGAATGTACAAATGTGCTTTACACAATTGATGTATGTATGGATTGTTTTAAGACTTGTAAGTGCCCCTAATAAAATGATTTAAAAAAAAAGCTCAGATTTACTGGTCAGAGATTGGTGGAATCCCTGAGATGGAATTCGCCCTTGTGCTCAATTTCCAAGCAAACAATAGAGTCTATAAGGTGAACAGTAACAGTGGGGAGGTAAGAACTTCTTAGAACTATCAGTGATCTGAGATCAAAACTGTAGCATTTGCCCATAAGCAAAGCTCCAATGGTAGGAAGGGTTAGGAAAGGAGGAAGAATTAAAACAGGAAACAGGGAGGATGTGGGATGAATTAAGTTACATTGTCGGACTGCAATTGATGATATGAAACAAAATGTGTATGAATTGTTGAATGAAAGCCTAATTTGTGTATGTATAGAATGTAATAAGAGCTGTACGAGCCCCAATAAAATGATTAAAAAAAAAAGAAAACCTGATTTGTTTTGTAAACCTCCACCTAATTCACAATGAAACAGTGCAATAAATAAATAAAACAAAAATAAGTAAATGCAACAAATGCCCTTTCCGATTTTGATTTTAACATGACATTGACAAGTTACACCAGTTTAACTAAGCTCCCTTCTCACCATAATCTATTATTACTTTCTACCAAAAGGCACATATAATAGGAGTATTAGTTCAATAAAATCCATAGCATTTCCCTGATATCTTAACATTCTGGTCATCTCGAGAGGTGTGGGTGATGAAATACAAGACATTTTTTACCAATAAAATACATCCAGAAAAGACTGCTAAGCGGTCTGTTTTGGTCATACCCGATTGCAGCCGGGGTCAAGCGGGTGTGTAACTGAGGAGTTGTTGAAGTAGTGGTGGTTGTTAGGGAGCCATCAGTTCCCGTCTTCTCCCAGTCAAAAGGGTCACTCTCAATTACACCAACAGTCTTGATGCTATTGTCAAACACGGAGGTAAGAAGCTAAACCACAAAAAAAAAAAATAATTGAGTGAGTCAACAATCACTTTATTCTAGAAGAAAAAGTACTCCTGATCCCTAAGACGGCTTTGTAGTATGGTCAGGAGAATTTTAATATGGACTACAGGTGGACAATGACACTGAATTAATATTGATGTTTCTTAGATGCGTACTAATGTGATTGTGTACGAAAATACCTGTTCTTGAAAGATGTATTATGAATTATCGTGATTTCTCAACCTATGAGAGGGTTTCAATAAGTTCACAGGAAAGTAGAATGAAAAGATGACACTTTCCCATTAACTTTTTGAAGTCCATTCATAAAAAATGGTTTGACAAAAGAAAATGTGCTTCATGTGTTTAGCTGAACCATATTCTTGATCCTATTTTCGGTGGGAGGCAAAAGAGAAGAAGATATGATTCATCCTAATATAGAGAGGAAGGAATAATAATAGAATAATAATATGATCAGTGTTAACAATTGGCCTGTCTTCCTTCTCACAGCTGTCTATCCAGTCCATACTGACACACAGGACTCTGTAGGACAGGGTGGAACTGCCCCCTTGTCAGTGTCTGAGACTGTAACTCTTTACAGGAGTAGAAAGTCCCGTCTTCTTTCAAGGAGGTACATGGTGATTCAAACTCCTGACCTTGTGAATTGCAGCTAAGGATATGTAAAACTTTATTGTGCATGTTTTCAATGATTTTAGGGGTGTTAAAATTATTATGTGGGTGTATACATACATAAATTATAAAAATTAAATTTGTCCTATTACTTTAATTTATATGACATTTTTTGTCTCGAAATGACTAAATTCTGATGTAGTCTTGAGAAAAAACTCAAAATGATTTTCTTTTACTGTTTCTGATAGTATACCACCATTTTTAATTCTCTACTCATTATTTCCTCTTACTCTGTTTAGTATTCTATCTTTGGCCTTTCTTTCTGCTTCTATCTTCTTAAGAATCCCTAGGAAGCATGTTATTTTAAATCCCAATCAACTCTCTCTCTTTATTCAATCTCGAACATTTCCTTCATTAGATGCTATAGGTCTCAATACCAGGTCTCATGGAAAATTTAGTATGTACACACTTGAAATTTTCTCATTTTCATTAAAAAAATTCAAATGCCAACTTATCCTTTTCTATTACAATTAACAGTCATAGGTATAACCATTTTCTCTCTAGTACTGTTAAATTCAGCGAGTCCTGGCGGCACAGTGAAGTGCTCACCTGCTAACCAAAAGATGGGTGGTTTTTACCTACCACACACTCCGTGAGAGCTGTTATGGCTTGCTTCCATGAAGAGGTACAGCCTTGGAAACTGGGGGTGTTTCTGCTCCGTATGTCAAGGTTGCTGTGACTTAACAGCAGTGGGTTATTTGGTTTTGGTTATTTTAGAATTCTATTTCCTCATTTCAATTTCCAGACTCTGAGTATACCACATTTGATATCTGCAATCTTTGTACTATAAATTTTGCTTGTGAGTTTTGATCACTACCTTCCCCCTCACTTAATAAATTAAGTGAATTGGGTCAAATTTCATGAACCTTAATTTTCCCATTTGTAAATGAGAATTTTATCTCATACACAATCAAAAAATGTAAATTAAATCACAAATATCTGCTCTTCTAATTTTGCCTCTTTTGATTAAATTTAGGGATAACTTATTTTCTGCATCATTAACTTCTGATACCAGTTCATAGCTGTTATGAACATATTTATATCCTTTGTACTCAAGGAGTTAAACCAGCAGTTTCTTAGTTGGCCTCCCTGTCTCTACCTAGTTCTGATACTCTAATTCATTTTAAGCACTTACTAATCATCCACTGATATTATTTGAATCTCATTTTGTCCAATAAAGATGCTATTACTGTCTTATATCCAAATCCTCAGACTTTAATTTAGTTCCATCAGTAGCCTTTTGTGCTCTCCATTTTCATCTTTTAAAATTAAATTTTCTGGATCTAGACAATCTTTTGTCCCCTGCTTCCTATTTATCTCTGTGTGTATCCTCGGTTTATGAATCCTACCTAAGGTCAACCTTTAAATCTTCTATTTTACCATGCTTATATTAACCTCAAATTTATTGCAAGCTCTAGTTCCTCCTAGGAAATTCATGCTTGAACTCAACCCCTGGCTACCAAGAACAATTACACACCCTACTGAATAGTGGAAACCACATGGATATTTGAGTTAGACAAACAAGAACTCTAACATCAGTATTCCACATAGTAATTGTGTAAATTTAAATTGCTTTTTTCTTCCTTTCTTTTTTAAAAATTAAGCTTTTCTCATGGCAAGAAAATCTGTGTAGTGGTATTAAGTAAAAAGTAAAAGCTGCCTCTCTTTGCCCTGCTCGTGGTCTCAGTTCTCAAGAGTTAATACATTCTCATTGCACTATAATAAATTATTGTGCATTCTTCCACACAAAATGAATCCTATAGAAAAAATTAATACATATACAAATACATAGTTACGTACTGTCTTCTTACACAAATATTACCATGGTGTATTTTTCACCTCCTCATTATCCACTGGCCACTTCACTTTTTAAAAATCTTAACAGTTTTATTGTCATATAATTCACATATCATGCAATTCAATGGTTGAAACATAGTATCAATCAAGAGTTGTGCACAGTCTTCTTCTGGTGGCTTCTCTTTTTTGATTTACCTCTCGAGCATGCATGAGGGGTGAGGTCTTGATCAGCTTCTCTAGTTAGCCTGGGGTCTAAAGCCTACTGTCTAAAGTCTAGACAGTAACTATTTTAAACACCATGGACTATCCAGTTTAAACTATTCAATTCTGCCATTGTAGAGTGAAAGCAGCCATAATGGGTGAGTACGGCTGTCTTGGAATGAAAATTTTTTTCTTTAATATTCTTACTGGGGGCTCCTACATCTCTTATCACAATCCATACATTCATCCAGTGTGTCAAGCACCTTTGCACATATGCCACCATCATTATTTTCAAAGCATTCTCTTCCCACTTGAGCCCCTGATATCAGCTCCCCATTTTTCCCCCTCCCTCACGAACTCTTGATAAGATATAGATTATTATTTTCATATCTTACATCGTCCTCTGTTGCCCCTCACCCACTTTTCCATTGTTTGTCCCTCTTAGAGGGTGTTATAGGTTGATCCTTGTGATCGATTACCCCTTTTCTCCTCCCACCCTCTCTTTATCCTCCTGGTCTCTCTACTCAGATTGTTGGGCCTGGGGGGAGGGGGTGTTTATCTATCCTAGATTCCCTGTGTTGCGGGCTCTTGTCTGGTTAAATCTGAATTTTATATACTTTTTTTTTTTATTAAATCATTTTATTGGGGGCTCGTACAACCCTTATCACAATCCACAAATACATCCATTGTGTCAAGCACATTTGTACATTTGCTTCCCTTATCATTCTCAAAACATTTGCTTTCCCCTTGAGCCCTTGGTATCACCTTCTCATTTTCCCCTCCCTCCCGCCTCCCCCTCCCCCATGAACCCTTTATAATTTATAAATTATTATTTCGTCATATCTTACACTGTCCGATGTCTTCCTTCACCCACTTCTCCACTGTCTGTCCCCCAGGGATGAGATTATACGTAGATCCTTGTAATCTGTTCCCCATTCTCTCCCCTCCCCGAATTTTATATACTTTTATAAGTATATAAATATTCTTGTTTTACAGTTAATAGTTCAACCACTTACTAATGTACAAACCATTCTTAGTTTATAAACCACACAAAAGCGAGTGGGCTATAATATGTGAGTTAGTTAATTGTGCCAGCCTGGCCGATAATCACATGTGGTGCTGGTTGAAAGGCGGAGGGATAAATGGGTGGTGAAGCCTCGTCTTTCTAGTTCTCGGGTCTCTTGTTTTGTGATGGTTGCATCGGGTGCAGCTGCCTTAGCGGTTCCCTGCTTCAGCTTGCAAGATTGACTTCCTACAAGACATCCCCAAGGAGAAGCTACATGGACCTATCCCGATGCAGCCCTGGGTGCTGGAACAGCCGTGTGGAGACCCCTGCTAGTGCTGAGATGCTTATTCGTTCACGGACTCAGCTTTCCTCCTGCAGTCGGCATCATTGCCTCTGTTTTGTGAGGTGGAGGACTTTGTGGACTGGTGTTGGGTTAATGTTGGACTTGTGGGCTTGGGCAGCATTGGGTTGGGATGTTTTCGTGATGCACATTTTCTTTACATACAATTCTCTCTTAACATGAGTTGCTGTGGATTTGTTTCTCCAATGTACCTAGACTAATACAATATGTTAACCGTTCTAGTCTGTTTTCACATGCTGCCCAAATTTATTTATTTATAAACATACATGACTGCTTAGTTAACATATCACTTCGAGGTCTAACATTTCAGATTTGACTTTCCCAAAGCAAAGCATTTTTAGTAGTTTTATTAGGATATAATTGACATTATCACTCAATTTACTAAGCTAAAGGAAGTTGCTCAATTTACTTAAATGATATTTTGTATATTTACGGAGTTGGACATCTATCATCAAAAATCTTAAAACATTTTAATTTTATTATTCCTGAGAGAAAGCCCATCCCCTAGTTGACACCTCCATACCATCATCCCCCCATCCCGCCCAGCCTGAGGCAAACACTAATATACCTTCATCTTCTATGGATTTGCTTTTCTCAACATTTTAAATAAATAGAATCATACAATAAATGGTCCGTTGTGATTGGTTTCTTTTACTTAAGATTTTTCAAATTCCATCATATTGCAGCATGTAACAGGAACTTCCTTTCTTTTTATTGCTGCATAGCATTTTATTGTGTGGATATATTGCCTTTTATGTGTCATTAACATTGGTGGACATATGGGTTGTTTCCACTTCATGGCAATTACGCAAAATATTGGTATAAGCATTCATGTGCAAGATTTTATATAAGCATACATTTTCATTTCTCTTGGGTATAACTAGGACTCTCATTTTTGGATCATACAATAGCTCCATGTTTAACAGTTTTATATTCCCACCAATAGTCTGGGAC